ATACTATGAGCCTCGTCTTAGAAGAATTTATATGTATGATGGATACCCACATAACTGCCCTGAATATAAGCCTAGATTTCTTAAGTCATTACCAAATGTAATATTTACTGCCACTGTTGTTTTATTCACAATTACCAGGCCAATCTCTCATCAAGAGGCTCAAAAATAAAAGCTGTCAAGATTACCTACGTTAACACATGTGGTTCCTCTGCAACCTTCTTTTACTCTTCCCCACTTTAGTTTTTAACAGTCTCCAATCCCCACCCATACTTCTTATCATCCCTCCCATTTGCACATGGCTGTCATCTATTTGCTGTCTCCTGGAAGAATGCTTACAGCCTAACACCAAACATAGGCCACAAAGCACTGCAAGATGTAACCAAATACTCAAGACTCTTTAAGCCAATGAATATTTAGTATGTTTTACTTGTGTAATTGGTATTTCATCCAGCATTTCATTTTTTCCATGTCTGATGAAGTTTACTTGTCCATGAAAGGTCACATTAAAATATAATAGTATTTAAGGTTCCACATTTTTGTCTTTTTCTTCTTTTTCTTATTGTTTAGTTTAGTTTAGTGTCTTTGGATTTTAGAGAAGTGCATCCTTTTACAGTCTGGCTGCATCCCAATGCCTGAGTCAATGCCTTGGCTACTAACCAGTGGCACTCCTGTCTTGGCAGAGCTTAATTCTAGTTTGTGCATCTTCATCTAGTGTCTTATTGAACTCTGGCAATATTCATGGACATCAACAGTTTCATTTGTGTTAGATAGCAGGAAGCAATCGAGCTGGGGGTCATCAGAACACTAGTGACATTTCACTCCACATTTTCTAATGACCTTCCCTCAGTGGTTTTTAGTATAGTGGACAGCACTATTTTCGTACATCTGTAGGAAAAAAATATAGTCTTACAGAGAAAACACAGTCTCACAAAGTTGGTAGCTTGCTCTTCCACTGCCTCATTTTGTTAGGGAGGTAAATGACAGTGACAGACAAGAGGAAAGAAGTATGTGTTAGTCTGCAATTTCACTCAATAGATGCATTTTTTAAAAAACACATTGTTCTTTTGATGTAAGACCTAAAACATTCTGAAGATGTCATTGAAACTACCTTATTCTTTCTATATATGGAGCAATATTTTTTTGGAAACTGAAAGAGAAGAATGGATATACAATGGAGTAAATTTAATCCAGCATCTCTGTTTATTTAGCCAAAATAATTTATATCCAGTTCTTCCTCCCTAAGGAGATCAGAGGGAAGCAGGAAAACACGAGACATACTGTATGTGGTATGTAAACAGTCAATAATAAATGACATTCACATCAACCAGAATTCAGAAGGGGTAAAAAACCTAATGAAAATGAGGTGCTATGACTGATTTGTTAAATGCCGTTTGGAGCTCCAGGGCAAGGGGATTCTAGAAATGGGAGACTATCACAGAAAATTACCTCATGGATACTGCAAGGGAAAGAGAGAAGATACCAGTTCTCAAGCAGATTATCTGGAGGAAGGTGTTGTATAGTAGATGTTATATATCATCTTCCTCCACATTGTCTATGTCCTCGCAGATTATCTGGAGGAAGGTGTTGTATAGAAGATGTTCTATATCATCTTCCTCCACATTGTCTACTGTATGTCCTCTGTGCTATTTAACATTGATACTGCTGGGAACTCAGATGTTTTTGGATTGCAACTCCCAGAAGCCTTCACCATCAGCTCTGCTGGCTGGGGTTTCTGGGAGTTGCAGTTCAAAAACACCTGAGTAACAAAGGTAAGAACCACTGCTCTATGCTATTTAACATTGATATGAAACTGCTGGGAGAGTTTTGGAGTTTGTTGTCACTAGTATCCAGATGACACCCAACTCTCTCTCCTTTCCATCTCAATCCGAGGAAGCTGTCTTCAGTCTGGAGCAGTGGTTCCCAACCTTGGACTACAACTCTCAGAAACCCTGGTCACCACAGCTCATGGTGAAGGCTTCTGAGAGTTTTAATCCAGAGACATCTTGGGACCCAAGGCTGGGAACCACTTCTCTAGATCCATGTCTGGTGTCCGTCATGGACTGAATGAGGGTGAATAAACTGAAAGTTAATTCAGACAAGACAGATGTGCTCCTGGTCAGTTGAAAGGCAGAGCAAGAAATAGGGTTAGGGTGCTGGTTGGGGTTGCACTCCTTCTGAAAACCCAGTGTGTGGCGGTGCTCCTGGATTCATCTCTGAGCCTGGATGCCCAGGTTCTGGCAGTGGCCAGGTGTGCATTTGCACAATTAAAACGAGTGTGCCAGCTGTGCCCATTCCTGGAAACAGAGAAGGCCTTCTTCCGTGGCCCCACCAAGCATGCCTATGAGGGTGGTGGGACTAAGGGGAAGGCCTTCCTTGATGATCTTAATGTTCAGGCAGGCTCATAGAGGGAGATGCAATCTTTTAGATAGACTGGACCCAAGCCGTTTAGAATGTTTTAATTTAAAACTGGAACACAAGAGAGGGCCTTCTCTGTGGCTGCTCCCAGACTCTGGAACTCCCTCCCATAGGAAGCCAGGCTGGCCCCATCTTTGCTTTCCTTCTGCAAGCAGGCAAAGACCTTTCTGTTTAGGCAGGCTTTCCTTTAATAACTGGTGGGCTGAGAGAGGTTTTCACATGAATGGTTGTGCTCTGTTGCTTTAAATGTGTTTTAATGTTGATTTTATTTACCATTTTAATATGATACTTGTTTAATTCCTTTTTTGATATTTGTATACTTACTGTTTTTAGCTTTTAAATGCTGTGTTTTAATGTTGCAAGCTGCCTTGGGTCCTTTTAAGGAGCAAGGTGGGATAAAATATTTTTAATAAATAAATATAAAATGTATTTATACAGTACATTCAGCGTCACATCTGTTTGGGCCCATAGGGGTCAAGCTACTGCAGTTCACCCATGCCAGCAAAGTGCTCTATACATGCTCAGAGCGGCTAAAGCAGTAACTTTGAAGAAAGAGGAGGGAACAATGTTGAACTGCCACAGCTTGAGGTCAGCTCTATCCTTGGGCCAAGTGAGGGTACTGCCTCAGGTGGCAGATTTTGGGGGGCAGCAGTGGCAGTCTCTGAATTCTGCCTCGTCAACTCTCTGGTGCTTCTGGCTACTTTATTTTATTATTTATTTATTTAAAATAGATTTAGCCCACCTTTCTCCTTAAAAATTGCTTCACGCATGTCCATTTCCTGAGAGAGTTGTGTGCTAATTAATTCTGAAGCTGTGGAAACGGAAAGATCCCTACCCAAACTGCCATTAAAGAGTTTATCACTGACATAGCAGGAAGAACACTTATAGGCAACAGCACATCTGCTTCACACATTTGTTTTCAATTCAATGTACAGGCAGTGTTTCCCCAAACAGAAGTGGTTTCATTTCCTCTGACGGCTTTTTCAGCAGACTTGGTGTCACCAGATAGGATAAGTTTGTCTCTTGACTTACTTCAGAACTGGTGGATCAGCGTGTTCCTCTGTACTGTTTGTTCAGTGAAACTGGAAATTAACTTACCCTGTTTTCCCCAAAATAAGACCTAACCTGAACATTAGCTCTAGTATGATTTTTCAGGATGCTCCTCATATAGGCCCTACCCCAAAAATAAGCTCCAGTGGAGTGAACCCCCACCCTCCCCCCTTGTGCAGCAATCAGAAGAAGATGACAGGATCAATGTAGATGGTTGTACATGAAAAAAATAAAACATCCCCTGAAAATAAGCCCTATTGCATTTTTTGGAGCAAAAACTAATATAAGACCCTGTCTTATTTTTGGGGAAACACATGAAATTTTGTCATGTTTTTGAAAGTAACCATAATTTATTATGAGTATTAAAATATGGCTAGACTGTTATATTTCAATACAAATACTTTATATTTTCAGACATATCTATATGTACATCATATACTCTTATCTGGCACCTTGCTGTTGGGTGATAACTCCCACAATCTCTCATACAGGCTGTAGGCTCTGGATCTTGGCCCAACGAGAGCTGGAGGGCCAAGACTTTCCACCCCTCCTCTCCACAGAGGGGTAGAAGCAGTGCCACATTTCAGACAGAGGACATTCCCAGATTTATATGGAATTACACCAGAACTAGAGAAGTTAGATTTACAAAGTAATGCATTTCAATTATTGTTCCGGAGCCTCAACAAAACACAAGACAAAACAAAACAAAGAAAAAAATAGCAAAAAAAAAAAAACTTTACTACTACTGTGATTTTAACATTTTTCAATTTCTTAGTAAGTACTAAACCCCTTGCTTTCTGGCTGCTTCAAAACCGACCTGAATTCAATAAGCCTGTGGTACAAACTCTTCTCCCATCTACTTCTTCATCATCTCAATAACCACAATAAAGCATGTGGCAGCAGCTGTGCTCTACTCTCAATTTCCCCCTCTAGCTCTGCACAAGGTGTTTCTGGATAACTGGTTATCACTTGCTGTAAAAAAACCCATCTAGAATACACCATCCAGTCCTCAGGAATAATTAAGTTGCAAATCTACCTATATAAGTCCAAGATATTGGTTTCTA